CTTAAAACTCCTGGATTGTTATCATGAGTGTGGTCCAGTCAATTCTGACTTGGCAACACTATGCACAACAGAACAAAGCACTGAGTGGTCCTATCCCATCCTCACAATTGTTGGTATGTTTGGGCCCATTGTGCAGCCACTGTGTCAATCCATCTCATTGAGGGCCTTCTTTGTCGATGACCTTTTATTTTACCAAGCATGATGATGTTCTTGTCCAGGGACTGATCCTGCCTGCTAGCATGTCCAAACTACATGAAACTATGTCTTGCATCCTTCCATTCAACCTTCTCAAGCCTAATTAACACAAATCTGTATCTAAACTGTCTTTCATATTGGGGACCACACCCCTTCTAGGGGCTCTATACACTTTTGTCTCATTGTGCTTGCAAACCTATGGTGCACAACAGTGGATCTAATGAGTTTCATTTGAGTCATCAGATTTAAAACCTTCTCCCAATGCCTTTTTGTGCCAATAAACTCTCTAATTTCCTTCAGGGTCCCACACTTCCTGTTTTTCATAGCTGGTGACCCCTGCCAATAATTTCACCAGAAAAGCTTCCAAGATGTAAATGGGGTTATGAGTGTTAGTATCATGTTAGGTGGAAATACGCCTATCAAATGATTTGATTTTACTTATAAAGTTAATGACTTATAGTAAAACATTTTTTCTCCATAAAGCACTAGATTATTGATTCCCAAAGTTATTTGGCTAAAAAAACAAAGTTACTCAGTGCCCTCCCTGTCAATTAAAAACTTTTATAATATAGCCCATATTCCAGCATAAAATATAAGCATTGCTTTTGCATCCCACTGGATCATTCCAGAGACTCCCAGATGGTATGGCCCACTTTGGGATGCACTGCACAATACAGCTGAATTATTACTAGACATTTATAACCATTGCTTGTAATTAAATGTTTAAAGTACATTATAGCTATAATTAATGCTCCTCAAGAAATCAAAGTACAGATGAATATTTTTGTTATTTTGTTTGGGTTTGTTTTCTTTCTCTAGGAGAAAATGAATATTGAAACATATTTTGAAAGAATTGGGTATGTAAACTCCAGGAGGGAGTTGGACTTGGAAACATTAACAGACATCCTTCAACACCAGATCCAAGTCATCCCCTTTGAGAACCTTAATATACACTGTGGAGAAGCCATGGAATTGGGCTTAGAGGCCATTTTTGATCAAATAGTGAGGAGAAAGCGAGGTGGCTGGTGTCTCCAAGTCAATCACCTTCTGTACTGGGTTCTGACCACAATGGGCTTTGAAGCTACCATGTTGGGAGGTTATGTGTACAGCACTCCAGCTGACAGATACAGCAGCAGCATGATTCACCTCCTGTTGCAAGTGACGATTGGTGACAAGAACTACATTGTGGATGCTGGGTTTGGATGTTCCTACCAGATTTGGCAGCCTCTGGAGCTAATTCCTGGGAAGGATCAGCCTCAGATACCCTGCATCTTCCGTCTAAGAGAAGAAGAAGGAATCTGGTACCTGGACCAAATCAGAAGAGAACAGTACATTCCAAACCAAGAATTTCTGGATTCAGATCTCCTGGAAAAGAATAAATACCGAAAAATTTACTCTTTTACTCTTGAGCCTCGAACAATTGAAGACTTTCAGTCTGTGAATACATACCTTCAGACATCTCCATTATCTTTGTTTACAAGCAATTCTTTTTGTTCACTGCAGACACCACAAGGGGTCCATTGCTTAGTGGGCTTCACTCTCACCTCTCGAACATTCAATTATAAACACAATGTGGATCTAGTAGAATTTAAGACCTTGAAAGAGGAAGAAGTAGAAGAAGTGCTGGAAAATCTATTTAATATTTGCTTGGACAGAAAATTTGTCCCAAAACATGGTGACCGATGTTTCACAGTTTAGAGGAAGAAGCAAAAGATTTCTATCAGGATTACTTCAGGTTCTGCAAGCTTTTGGTTTTGAAAATGTCAGACATAGACAAGAGTGGAGGGAACATGTGAATAAACTTACGCAGGGAACTAATAAGCCCACCAACAGTCTGCTGATGGTCAATTGCATTTCTTCTACCTCCTCAGATTATTATGGAGAAAATTCTACACCTCAAATTGTTGCACCTGGAAATTTTTCAGTATATATCGTTAAATGTTACTTATTTAATAAAACATAGCTCAATTCTTTTCAAAATTAACATTAGTAGTGTCTTTTTGTTGTTACAGCACATGATTATCTTGGGAAATATTTTTTGATTTATGCTGGAAGGTCTTTAACATCTTGTAATGTTGAATTCATAGGCAATATGGCAATACATAAGAGATAAGGTTCACCATGAAATTGTTCCTGTTGTTTGCTCTCTGCTCTGTATTTTAATGACTTTGGCTTGTCAGCACTTTATGACTATCTCACATATGTGGCTCAGTCAGACTAGTAGAGGGGTTCAAGCGCCCGATTGTGGTGCTCATTCTATACTAAGCTTGTGTCTACCTAGGATCTTATTAATGCCTCTGAAAAGGCCTGTGTGTACCATGCATTGATTAAATTCAGTCAGCATATTTTTAAATCTAAATTTTACAAAAATAGTGTAATATATAATTTTGGATTGGAACTCAACAAAGAAATATTAGGTGATATTTGCCTTCAAGTTGCCTAAAAGTTCCCAGGGTGAGAATTAAATCAATGCATGGTAGTATGGGACGAAGCATTAAGAGAATGGCCCAACGAATACATTCAAAGTGCCTTTAACAACCATGGCTTAGACATGGACCATTTTTTTAATATGGGAATATAATGTCAGAGGAATATTAGATCCAATTCCGCTTTCTTCTTTCCCTGGAGCTTCTCTATTGACATAGCTGCCAAGATTGCCTATTCAGCCCAAATACACATCCCCAAACCATAAGTATTAGGAGACACGGAATGGAAAACTTAGTGGGGCATAGAGGTAACTGAATTGGGACAGTGTGGGCTTTCCCCCCTCCTTTCTTTGCCATTCATCTCCCAAATTATTGTATCATGCATTACAATTGCCCAATATAAGCTGAATTTTATCCTTTTTCTTGGGTGCTGCTTTGCAGGGGCCCAAGGACTATGTATTAGAGCAGCATTTAAAGTCACAGGAGCACATGAGATCACTTAGGGCATATGTAATGTATACATTGGGAAGAGAAATTGGCCCACAGCTAAGGCACTATAACCTGTATAGGTAGAAGAGAAAAGGCAAACTTAGCAAAAGGAAAGTCACTGGGTTACAGTGAAAACAAGAGGCAATGGGATAGTGGAAGACAAACAGGAAAATATAGTTGCAGTATAAGGAGAGGGTCTAGGGTGTTAAATCCTGCCCTCCAAAATTGAGAATTATAGTTTGAAAAATTAGAATGTTTCTGAACACACCAAACTATCTTCCTGTAGGTATAAATTTATGAAAATATATGGCAAAATATGTAGATACGTACATACCAAACATACTAATCAGCTGTTCTAAGATGACTGTAGCCCTCTATGTAAGCCGTTGCAAAGGTAGCGTACTAAGATAAATCTTAGAGACCGGTGAC